GGAGGCCGTGCAATACCCCTGGCGGCCCCCCCTTCAGAGTGCTAGAACCAGCAAACCGCTTTAGACATCCTCATCATCTGCTCCTCGTCATCATCATCATCATCATCATCATCATCATCATCATCATCATCATCATCATCATCATCAGCAGCAGCAGCAGCAGCATCAGCATCATCATCACCATCATCTTCATCATACTCATCCATCATTCACCATCACCATCATACTCACATCGTACTCTCACCATACCATGGTTATCATCATGATAATCATCATTGTCTAGTGCAGAAAGGGAAGAGGGGAAGGGTGGGTGGTCTGGCACGGTCGGAGAATAACAAGAACCCCATCCTTTGGATATGGAGTAACAAGGACCCCATCCTTTTTTGATATGGGGACAAACATCCACTGTCAAGAACCCGGTGCAAGAAAAAATCCAGGAAGACCTGCACGCGAGCGCGTCACGGGCGCATGCCGAAATCTATCAAAAAAATGGGGCGTCGCAAGAATTTCAACATCGAGGGCCCCGAAAAAATACAATGAACACATGACCTTGCAATATGAGCTTTCGAACAAGTACGCGCGTTCTTGCGAATTCTTAAGAAACATATGACATGTTCAACCTGTTCGTCCAAAACAACCAGATACCTCTCGCGCGCGCACGTCGAAATCGTTCGAACGCCCTTGCGCGCGTGCTGCGGGGGCACGACTCCTCTCAAATAACACCATTCGGGCCACTCGCGCGCGCCAGCCGCACGCGCATGTCGAAATCCTTCCTCCCGAAATTTTCATCCCCGACGCGAGGACGCCACGATCGTCGTCGGCGCGATCAGTATCGTCGCCGTCATTGGCCACGCCGTCGCCACCGCCATCATCGCCACCGCCCTCGCCACTATCACCATCTCGTCCACCGCCGTCGACGTCTCAATGATGCCGCGCCCACCCAGGTCACCAACTCGAACTGAAGTGCCATCGCGTCAGCGCGGCCTATGAAGCGCGCCGCGAAACTCCCAGCGGTCTGCGCCACCGCGGCCGCGTCGGTTGGGCCGGACCAGCCGGCCGTTCGGGACGCGAGCCTAAGCGCACTAGCGCGGCCGCAGCGATGCGCCAGCGAACGCCAGGCAGTCACGAGCCATGAGTCAGCGCCAAGCAGCCATGGCAATCGCCGCCGCATGGGTTTTGCAAACCAAATTGCGGGCGGGCGGGCGCGGTGTTTCCGCGAGCAGCGGAGTTGACAACACGCCGCGAACAACCATCACCTGCACCATATCCACTGCCCCACATCGATTATCCCTCCGAAAAAACTATGCGGATCGCCCACAACGCGAAGATAACGGCCCCCCTCTTCGCGCCTGTCCATCCGAAATACGAATTCACACCATCCCTGGCCGACGCTGATCGACCCCCCCCCTCATCCTCCGGTAAAAGAAGCAACGCGCGCACACTCGTACATCAGGAACCTCCAACGTTCAAGAACCCCGTGCAAAAAGGGTAGCGAAGTGCACGCGAGCGTCATCGCGCGCGCACGCCGAAAACCTCACACTTGCCATCGCAGGAATTTCCAAACAAAACATGCAAAAAAAAGTGTCGCTACGAGCGCGCGCCCGCGGATCCCCCCGGAAACCATTGTTTTTTGTATTTTTTCCAACGCGTCCATCAGATGCTCCTCGACGCGCATCCCGCGCGCGCGCATGTCGAAATCATTCGAACGCCCTCGCGCACGCGATGTTGCAGGAATCAACGCAACGAATTGGGCGAAGCGCACGCGCGCGCTGTCGCGCCCGCGTGCGAAAATTCTTCGAGAACCTTCGGCTTCAGACAGATTTCACGACGGACCGCCCCGAAAGCTGAAAACAAATACTTAGATCCAGCAAGGAAAAAACCCGCGCGAGCTTGCGAATTCTGACAACAACCATAGGTTCAACACGTCGAGCAAATTCGACGAAAAGGGCCTCTCGCGCCGCGCGTCAAATCATACCACGCAGGCGACTCGCGCGCGCTAGCCGCGCGCGCTCACGAACTCCTTCCAAAACCGTCATCACCGACGCCAGGACACCGTCATCGTCATGGGCGCGATCAGCATCGGAACCGTCATTGGCCTGGCCGTCATCATCGCCACCATTGCCACCATCATCGCCACGATCATCATATCATCGCGTCTACCGTCGTCGACGTCGCCATGGGACCGCGCCCGCCAGAGTCACCGACTCGCACTGAAGGGCCCGCTGATAAGTGCCCAGCGGTCAGCGCCACCGCGGCCGCGTCGGTCGCGCCACACTAGCTGGCAGCTGCGCGCGCGAGCATGCGCGGGGCTAGCGCGGCCGAAGAGAGATGCACCGGCCAACGCCATGCACTCGTCGCAATCGCCGCCACATTGGTTCTGCAAACCAGGTTCCAGGCGGGCGGGTGGGATGGTTGCGCGAGCAGTGGACCGACAACTCCAAATTTGTGCTGAATTAATTCTCCTCTCTGAAACAATATTGGCATGTACCCCCCATCCCCCCCCCTCCCTGGATGAAGGGGCCACTTTTTCGTAATGCGATTTAAGTACGACTCATCCTCTCCCAAAACAACAGACGCGCACACTCGCTTACGAAAAAAACATCAGCGTTCAAGAACTCCTTAGAAAAGCTGGACGCAATGCACACGCGCGCGTCGTCGCGCGCGCATCCCGAAATCGAAAACCTCAGGTGTCGTAAGGATTTCTGCCTCGAGAATCACGAATACCAAAAACACAGCTTGTGTTGCGACACCAGTTTTCAACCCAGCCGAAAAAAACGGCGTTCGCGCTCTTGCGGCCTCTTAAGAAAACCATCGGTTCTCCAACATGTTCATCCAACTCTGCCAAACAAGCTTTTTCGCGCCGCGTGTCGAAATCATTCGAACGCCCTTGCGCGCGTGCAGGGGTCGCACGATCCGTCAAATAACACCACGCGGGCAACTCGCGCGCGTCGGCCGCGCGCGCATGTCGAACTCCTTCAAAAAAACTCCATCGCCGACGCGAGGACATCGTCATCGTTATCGGCGGGCGTGATGAACATCAGCGTCGTCATTGGCCTTGCCGTTGTCATCACCACCACCGTCAACACCATCGCCACTCTCATAATATTGTTTCCCGTTGTCGGCGTCGCCATGATACCGCGCCCGCCCAGGTCACCGACTCGCTCTGACGGGCCCGCTGGGGAGTGCCCAGCGGTCAGCGCCACCGCGGCCGCGTCGGTCGCACCAAACTATCTGGCAGCTGTGCGCGCGAGCATGCGCGGCCAAGCGCGGCCGCAGAGATGCACCAGCCAACACCAAGCACTCGTCGCAGTCGCCGCCACATTGGTTCTGCAAACCAGGTTGCAGGCGGGCGGGCGGGATGGTTGCAAGAGCATGGCATGTGTCAACTCATTTGTAAAAACCACTTGCACCACGTATTGCACCACACAAAGACTGTTCCACATAAATCGAACAACATAGATTGCACCACATAGGCTGCACAACACGCATTGCTCCACATAGATTGCACCACATAAATTACACAACAAAGGTTGCACTACCCAGATGGCACAACAAAAGTTGCACGACTGATTCGCCACCGTGCCTCGAGGCACGCGAAGTGGAGTGTCCTCAGGTCCTCAAGGGGTCCACGTTCTCTATACTCAGGACTGGGAGATTCAAGAATACTAAGGGCTGGGGGCCAAAATTCTCAAAGTTTCTCGGCGTTCCCGCGCGCTCCTGCGCGCCCATGGGCCTGGTCGCATGGATTTCCCAAAGGCCACAAGGACACAAGACAGGCCAGGAGGGACCCAAGAAACGCCCAGGAGGCTTCCAAGACGCCCAAGATGGCCCCAAGACGGCCTGAGAGGCCCCAAAGAAGCCCAAAGAGCGCTCCAAGAGGATCCCCAAGAAAACCCAAAAAGGCAAAAATCTGTAGTAATGATCAGTGTATGGTGATCGGTGTTTCGCGTTCTCGCATATTCCAGCTTCCGACGCTCCAAGATGGCCCGAGAGGCCCCCAAAGACCGCCCAGAGACTGCCCAAGAGCACTGCCAGAGGGCTCCAAGACGGCCCCAAGAGGAGCCCCAAAACGGCCTAAGAGGCGCCCAAGATCGCCCAAGAGGGTCCCAAGAGGGCCCCAAGAACTCCCCAAGATGGGCCCAAGAGGGGAAACACGAATCGACAATTCGAGCCTTCCGCCCCGAGAGGCCCCCAGGAGGCCCCAAGAGGCCCCCTCAGAGGCCCCACGAAGCCCCCAGAGGCCCGAAAAGAAACCCCAAGAGGCCCCTAAACGGCCGCCAGTAGGCCTCAAAACTTCCTTTAAGAGGCCCTCGAAAGGCCTCCCACGGTATCCAAACGAGCATCCAAGAGGCCTCTGACCCACAACCCAGGCACGGTGGAGGGATGGGCCGAAGGCCACTAGATATTGCATCACAGATGTTGCACTGCATCTATTAAACAACATTGATTGCACCACATAGGTTGCACTACAATATTGCACCAGACACATTGCACAACATAGGTTGCACAACATACATCGCACCACACATATTGATCCGCATAGATTACACCACCTAGATTGCACGGCATGTATTGCACTACATATACGGTACCATGTAGATTGAACCACACAGATTGCACCGCATAGTTGCGAACCATAGATTGCATCGCATAGATTGCACCACATAGACTGAACTAGATATATATATATATATATATATATATATTGTATTGCACCACGTACATTGCACCACATGGATTGCACAGCATAAGTTGAACGACACATGTTGCACCACATAGACTGCTCCACATAGATTGCACCACCTGTATTGCTCCACATAGATATCACCGGATAGATTGCTAGAGGCACACTGCTTGGGGTCCACGCTGGCAAGCATATGAAAAAATACTGGGAATCCTAAAAAGACATTCTGTGTCTGCTTTACTCGTGCCTCCATGGGCCCCTTGAGCTGCACGGCGCGAGCACGTCTGAGTGCAGGTCTGCGGTCGCCCGAGACCACCTGCGGTCAGCGCGGGGCGGCGGCGACACGGGCGCGTGGTGGACCTTCGGGGGCATCCAAGAGGGGTGCGCGTCCAAGGGTTGAGTAGGGGATCGACTAAAGAATTGATTTACAAATTGAAATGCCCGTGGAATGTACAGAAAAAATCGTACAATGTTCGTAGGCGAACGAACATTAAACTTGTTCCCATACATTCGACGAACAATCAATATGGGAGGTAAATTCGCCGGCCCAACGGGCCAGGGCGTGCTAAGATCTCCGGTAACTGGTTAACAGTATTAACAGTATTTCTAGTTCGCGCGCGCGGGGCGGCCCCTGGGGGTCCCCCGGCGAAAAGTACCCCGACCAACGCCCGGTCGCCGCCCGACCAAAGTCTACTCAGAGATGGTTTTCCTTCTGGGTGCGGCCTCTCAGGCTCCCCAGAGCGCGCTCAGAGTGCCCCAAGAGGCCCCCAAGACTGCCCAAGAGGCCCCCGAGACGCCCAAAGAGCGCTCGAAGACGCCGAAGATGACCCCAAGACGGCCCAAAAGGCCCCCAAGACAGCCCAAGAGGCCTCCAAGACGCCCCAAGAGCCTTCCAAGAGGCCTCCGAAGAGAGCCCCAAGAGGCCAAAATCGTTGATGTTCATTGGTTTTTTCGATGTTTTTTGTGTTCTGGCTTTTTCGGCTTCCGGACGCTCCAAGACGGCCCAAGAGGCCCCCAAGACCGCTCCAAGACGGCCCACGAAGCTCCCAAGACGGCGCCGAAACGACCCAAGAGAGCCCTCAAGACGGCCCAAGTGCCGCCCAAGACGGACCAAGAGGCCCCAAGACGGGCCCAAGAGGGACTCAGGAGGGATACCGAGAACTCAAAAATGGAGCCCTCCGTCCCAGAAGGCGCCCAGGAGGTCCCAAAGAGGCCCCAAGAGGCCTCCAAGAGGCCCCAAGATGTCGCCAAGAGGCCCCAGGAGACTCCCAGGAGGCCCAAAAGAAGCCCCAGAAGGCTTCAAACATGTCTCCCAGGCGCCCCCGAACGGCCTCTCAACAGACCCCAAGAGGCCCCCCAAAGAAGCATCTTGACGACGACTCTATTTCGCCCCATCGAGAGACGACCCCCAGGGAACTGCTTCACCATCAAAACTCCCCACGCAACGCGTCCGAACGACACCCGCCCCCAAGAGCGCAACATGGGCAACGAACACACAGACAAAAACCAGCGATGCCATATCACGGGCCGGCGGAATGAGCGAAGCGATTCAATAATTCAATTTTGTGGTCGATCCCTATTCGAATGGGGGGGTCGCAACTCATGGCGCGAAGCATGTGCGCGACCATAAGGGGGCCAGGAGACATACAGTCGGGCTGCCGAAACAAGGCACGCTAACAGAAGGAGCGAGGCCCCTTCTTGGCCCCACAAGTGCCCGCGTGGGCGAGGAGCGCCGGAACCACGGAAGGACCTAAGGAACATCGAGCCCCTTCTGAACTCAAACTGCACCTCATTTCAGCGCCTTGGCTGCACTGAGGCAAGAACAGTCGCATGAAATCTGGGGCGACATTATGCCCCTGGCTATGCTATCCACAGCCCCCTTATTAGGTAGCAACCCCCTCTTGTCGACTACACGCAAGAGCAACCCTGGGTAAGAGCGACCTTTGGTGCGCGGTTCTTCGGGGGCCGCGAGAAACCAACACACAAGCGCGCAAGACACTACTATCGCATCACGTTCGGCGATCGGGAGGCCCCATTGGGACCGCACCCAAGGTCACTCTGGCGAGAGGTCACTCTTACGTCTAGTCGATCTTGGCCTGACGGGGACATCATAAAAATGACGAGAGCCAATATGAAATTTGATGCGAGCTCCCGCTGCAGACATCCTAAGAAAACTGGAAGGTAAAAATCTACAACGCACTCGTCACAAAACGTCGGCAAACCCGAGTTCCGGCGTACTCGAGTGTTTCCCCGATGTTGAGCATCAAACCCCTCTTGGCCGCCCCCGAGGCCTCTTTGGTCCGCGCGCCGAAGCTCACCTCGAGGTCCACCGCGGGCCAGCCCTCGGACGGGCCCGCGCCCGTCGCCGCGGGGAGCGCACTCCACAGCGCCAGGCGGCGCATGCGCGAGGCCGGCCGCGCCCCCTCCGCTAGGCCGGGCTGGGGCCTCGGAGCCGTGGCACGCGGGTAGGGGCGCCGTAACAAAAACCAGGGCGGGAGGTTTTTCGGTACTTGCGGTCCCTGGGGGCCCTCGCCGGGCCCCGGGACTGCCAAAGACGACCCAGGATGGAAAGCCGGCCGGACCTGGAGAGAAAGCGTCGGGACTGCCGGGAAGATCTGCTCGCGTCTGCCGCCCCTCTGCCCAGAGATCCTGGCGACGCCATTTTTTCTCGAGCCGAGCGTTTCCGCCAAGTCTCGGGCCCCAGGAGCCTCACAGCTGGGTCCGGCTCAAAAAAGTACGCAGGAAGATGGGGTCTAGGGCTCTGGGCATGATGTTCTGCGATGCTGCAATGCTTTTCGATGCGTCGGATCTCAGGGGAGGTCCGCTCGCGTCTGCCGCCCTCTTGGGTGAGGGGGGACGCTGGCTGGAATGCCAGTGGAGTGCCTGGCCCGCCCGCCACCCCTGAGAAGCCCAGCCCCGCCCCTGCCATTGTCTGCCTTCCTTCCTTTCGTTTCGCAGCTGCCACGAGGAGGCTGGTGTGCGCAAGGGTGGCATGGTGATGAGCCTGACGGTGTTCAGGAGTCCAAAGATGTCCTAACATCATAGTATGTGCTTTGCTACTCCCTGGTCCGAACCGTCTTAGTTTGACCTCGTGCACACGACAGTGCGACAACCACCGCCAGCGAAGGGAAACAACGTTAGATGCCGCTCATTCCCTATATTCCAACGACAAGGGGTGCGGGAATCGGGCGACGAACCTTCATAACTCCCAGTCGTCCGCCCGTCTCTCTGCCTCGATGTCGGTGAATCTTGATGCTTCAGTCTCATGTGGACGAGGACGGAGCAGTTTGGGGGAACTGTTGGGAAGGAACGGCTCAGGGGGGGGAAACATCGACCTGGCATCGGCTATGGTCCGCCGGTAGATCGGTGATAGGCCCCCGATAACTAATGCGCACGTCTCCCGGCGGGGTGGGCTATCGGCCCCCATCGGCGACCAACGGGCGATTTGGAGCCGATGTACTCGCCCTCGACTCTATCCCGTGGTGGTGTCCGGATGATTAACTCGGGCCTCTGGCTGCCGCCCGGGACGATCCGGGCACCCCGGGAACGCTATCGGCAAGGTGCGGCTGCTGGAACGCACCCCGAGGCTGGAAAGCCGCCGAGAACCGACGAGAGCGCCCGACGACCTCGAACGGTCATTAGGTTCGCACGGCGTCGGCGCGCGCAGAATTTTTTGACATCGCGTCGATCGCTCAACATTGAATCGATCGCGGCCCCGATCGTTCCAAATTGAATTCCGTCGGGTCCAGCGGCGTTACCGTGTCCCTCGGCGCTTCCGTGTCGCAGAACTCAACTTTGAACGTATTCGCCGGCGTCGCTGGCGCGCCAGCGCTGCATGAACCTACCACACCTCGCACCGAAAACCTCGAGCATGTCCTCCCCCGCGAACGCTGCCCCTGATCCACCCCGGGTCGCGGGGCGAAGGCCACGGAGGCGGCCCGCGTTCGCCGCACGCTGGCGCCCGCACGGGTGCCAAGCGCGCCCTCGCGGCTGCGAGGACCACCTCGCCCCTGGGCGTCAGTACTCCTCACGGCCGGGGGCGCACGAGTACGGTCGGGCCATATATATATATATACATATAATAAGGGCGCACGAGGAGGACGCCAGGGCCTTGGAAAGCCACGTCGACTCTCTGCGGGCGGAGCGCGGCCAGCGAAGGCGGCCAAGGAGGGGCCGAAGGGGCAGGATGCAAGGGTAGCCTTGGAGAGCGGCTCATCCTTGCTGCGCGGGGTTGACTTTACTCCTCGCGGCCAGGGGCGCACAAGTATCACCTCGGCAACCAGGTGCATCCTGCGGCCCTCGGCTCCGTGGCCCTGCGGCCATCGCGCGTAAGCGAAGGGCAGGCTTCTGCAGGGGCCCCCGGCTTGGTGGCACGTGGCCCCTCGTGGCCCCATCGTGGCCTCCGGGCGCTTGGGGGGGGGGGGGGGCAGTGCCTCGTGGATGTCAATGGCTGGTCGCGGCCTCTGGCGTGCCAACCATGGCACGCCGCCTGGTTCTCCGTCGTCGGTCTGCCTTCCCGGCTATCTGAGCCGCGGTGCTGCAAGCTCGGCCACCGCCACGGTCGCCGTCGCCGTCACCCGAGCCGGTGGCCCTGACGAGGGGGCGGCGGCGGCAGTGGCAATGCCGAAACGCGCCCAGAGCCCAGCAAGGCATGAGGGTACTAGGCTCCAGGGCCCCAGGGTCCTGGGCCCTGGACTCCAGGGCCCGAGACCCCTTGGGCCCTGGACTCCTGGGCCCCAGACTCTTGGACCCTAGACTCCAGAGGCCACGTTCTCCGAACTGGCCTCCGAAACTGCACTCGGGAGATCGCGTGCCGCGCGGCCCGTGGAGCACGCGAGGATCATACGCCACCTCGCCAGGTGACACCGAATCGCTCTAGGATGCTGGCGCCGTTGGCCTTGCAGACAAGAGCCTGCTCGGCGGCGCGCCCACGGGGGAAGTGACCCCCCTCTGGCCATCGAAGAGGCCCTGTGGTGTCGTCGGAGAATCCTCTTATAAGCTCCTCAAGAGGGCAGAGCCCTATGAGCCTTCTGCGAATAGAGGCCTCCTACACAGGGGTCGGAGTAGACAGGGGCGGAGGATCGCGCCGCATCGCCAATGCATCGCCGATGCATCGGCGATGCATCGACGATGTATCAGCGGCGTCGGCGTGGGGAAACACGGCCTTCCACATCGAGACGCATCGTCGATGCATCGGCGATGCGGCGCGATCCTTCGACCCCATCTACTCGGACCCCGTCGAGGAGGCCTAGACCTTCTGAGCCTTCTGAGAAGGCCCACCACTCCTGCTTCCCCCCTGGGCGCGACGCCGCCTTACTCTACGGTTCCCCACACGAGAGTGTTAGATTGGGTCGCGAGCTCGAAGAGGGCTGAGAGCAGGGGCGGAAAAAAGAGGCTCCTCTTTCCAGACGATGTTTTTTCCTCTGAGCCAACTCCCCTCTGTCGGGGCAAACGGCACTGCTGGGACCAGCGGAATGGGAAAGAAAAGGTCCCTGTTAACTGACAGGCATACCTGATCTGAATCGAATCGCGAAATCCGACCGAATCGGAGACGGATCGGATCGCCAGCGAATCGCCCCCAATCGATTCGCCATCGGATCGCTGCGCCCAGCTCTGGCTAGCCCTTGCCGATGCCGGCGAATCGAACCGAATCGAATCGAGTCGGAGTCGCGGCCATAGCTGGCGAATCGAATCGTGTCGAAATAGTAGACGGCCCTGACAGGACACTCCGATGGCTGTCGCACTCTAGGGAAGTATCCCTGGGGGTGCCATTTGTACTGGTGGGACTGTGGACTGGTGGATTTTGAGTTGTATCCACAGGGATTCGCGCAGCGGGAAGAATGTGTGCGTATGTGCCTCGTGCGGCGGACACACATGCATGAATCCCACCAGCCCTCTGGGCGTCGGTGGTTGAGGGAGTTTCCTCTTCCACCCCTCCTTCTTCCCCTTCGGGGAGGGGTGTATCAATGTTCCCTATCAACATACAGCCCCTCCCCCAGGCGTCAATGCGGGCCCCCCCACCATCCCCTTGTTAAAAAAATGCCAACACACACACACACACATTCTGCCCCCACCATCCCTTGTAAAAAACAGTGTACACACACACTCTGTCTCCAAATTCAGACAGAGCATGCGCAGCGAACCCGATGCGGCCTCCCCCCACCATCCCTCTCAACAAAAACAATACAGAGTACATTTGGCGGCGGCGGCGGCGGCGGCGGCGGCGGCGGCTGCGGCGGGGGCAGCGGCTGCGGCGGCTGCGGTGGTGGCGGCGGCGGGGGCGGCGGCGGCGGGGGCGGCGGCAGCGGCGGGGGCGGCGGCGGCGGCGGCGGCGGCAGCGGCGGCGGCAGCAGTGGCGGCAGCGACTGCGGCGGCAGCGGCTGCGGCGGCGGCGATTTCGCAGCGGGCGGCGGCGGCGGCGGCGGCGGGCAGCGCGGTGGCGGCGGCAGCGGCGGACAGCGACGGCGGCGGCGGCGGCGCGGCGCGGGCGGCGGCGGCGGGCGGCGGCGGCGGCGGAGGCGGCGGCGGCGGCGGCGGATTGGCCCCCAGTAGCTGGCCATCCAAAGACGACTGCTGCATATGCTGCGGCTCGGGCCAGGCTCGGGTGCTACGTATGTGTTGGGAGGGCGGGTGGGAGTGAGCGAGACGGCTTGCGGGCGGGAAGGGAGACTCTTGACCCCTCCCCGCACCCCCTCCCCTGGACCTGGACAGGGGGGTCCGCGAGGTGTCGGAGCGTCCAAAACGGCCTCGGCGAGGAAGCCAAAATCATTGGTTGTTACTATGGTTTTGGCCACAGTTTGGCGTCCTGAGGGGGGGGGGCTAATTAAAGCTCACATCTTGTTTGATCGATCTCCTCCAAGATGACCCCAAGAAGCACCCAGGAGGCCCCAAGAGGTCCCAAGATGGCCCCAAGATGACCCCAAGAGGCCCCCAAGGAGCCCCCAAGAGCCCCCAGGATGCCCCCAAGAGGCTCACAAGCGACCCCCAAGAGGCCCCAAGAGGCCCCCCAGAGGCACCCAAGACGCGCCTCGGCGAGACTGCCAAAATCATTGATGTGACGAAGATTTTGGCCGCATTTGGGCCTCCAGGGGAGGGCACTGCTTCAGATGACTCCAAGAACGCCTGGAAGAGCCCAAGATGACCTCCAAGATTGCTCAAGATATCCCAAGATGCCTCAAGATGGCTCCTACGATGCTCCAAGAGGCCCCAAGACCGCTCCAAGACGGCTCCAAGTGGCCAAAGAGCTCCCCCAGGGTGCCCTGAAGAGGCCAAAATTCGTCAAAACCTAGGAAAATCAATGTTGTGGGCTTTCTCGCCTTTTCGCTTCCGATGGCCATCCGAGGCTTCACGATGACCCCAAGATGGCCCAAGAGGGCTCCAAGAGCGCTCCCAAGGCTCCTGCGACTAGAGAAGGAGGCTGAGGAGGGAAGAAGGAGAGGAGTGGGGGGATCTACAAAAACAAAAACACACTCAGGATGCAAGGGAAAGCGTAACGGTCGTAGCTCGGGCTTCGAAATGCGGTTGCTAGCGGTACCAGTCGTCGGCCTGGGCGGGCGATCTCGGTGAGGCGCGTCTCGCAAGAAATCGACCGAGGCCCGACTACCCGAAAGCCCTCTATACAAATCCAAGAAACACATCTCCAGCATATTGGGGGAGCCGGAACAGTGTCATGTTCGCTAAGTGCTAGCCAGCGCGGACCACAAACAGCGCGTTCGTAGAAATCAATGTGGGGGGGAGCAATCGACGTGGTGCAGTATAGGTGGTGCAACCTACGCGGTACAACCTATGCGGTGCAAATGACTACCCTGCACCGCCCTTGGCCACCTCCACTGCTCACGCAAACATCCCACCCACCCACCCGCAACTTGGTTTGCAAAATCTCTTAAGACCGTGGCGGTGGGTACCAAATGGCACTTGGCAACCACAGCGACGCCGACGACGACAGCGACAACGACGGCGACGACGCCGCGGACAACGACTACGACGACACCGACGACGTCTCCAACGACTTCGACGACGCCGACAACGACGACGACGACGACGACGACGACGCCGACACCGACGACGACGACGCCGACGCCGACGCCGACGACGACGACGACGAAGACGACGATGACAACGACGACGACGATGACGACGCCGACGACGACGACACCGACGACGAAGACGACGACGACGACGACGTCAACGACGCCGACGACGACGACGACGACAACGACGACGACGACGCCGACAACGACGACGACGACGCCGACGTCGACGACGACGACGAAGACGACGACGACGACGCCGACGCCGACGGAGACGACGAAGCCGACGACGACGTCGCCATCGAAGACGACGACGAGGAAGGAGGGAGGACGACGACGGCGACAACGACGACAACGACGACAACGACGACAACGACGACAACGACGAGGGAGGAGGGAGGACGGCGACGACGCGAACGACGAAGAAGGAGGAAGGACGGCGACGCCGACGACGACAACGACGAGGGAGGAGGGAAGACGACGACGACGACGACGACGACGACGACGACGACGACAACAACGACGACGACAACGACGACGACGACGACGACGACGACGACGACGACGACGGCGACGAAATAGGAGGGACGACGACGAGACGCCGACGACGGACGACGACGACGACGACGACGGAGGAGGAGGAAGGACGACCACGGCGACAACGACGACGGAAACGACCACGACGCCAAAGAGGACGACAACGACGAACACGAGGAAGACAGAGGGCGACGTAGGCGACGACGACGACGACGACGACGCGGGAGGAGGGAGGACGGCGACGACGACGACGACGACGACGACCACGCTTTTGTTGAAAATCCGTGTTGCGAAACCTTGTGATTTTGTAGGTTTCTTGGACACACGATGTTGAAATCCTTCCGAAACCGATGGGCTTTGAAGGATTTCGGCTTACGCGCGCGACGACGCGCGCGTCTGCATTTCGTCCCATTTTTTGCGAAGGATTCTCGCGACGGCACACGCGCAAGGGCGTTCGCCAGATTTCGACATGCGCGCGCGCGGAGCCCGTTTGGTAGCATGTTGTGAAAATCTTAAAAAACCTATGGTTTTCTGAAGATTTCGCAAGAGGTCGCGCGTAAGCTTTTTTAGCAAATCAGTGTTGCGAAACCCTGTGTTTTTTGTATGTTTTTCGGGAACTCGATTGCGAAATCCTTCCGACACCGAGGGTTTTTGAAGGATTTCGGCATGCGCGCGCGACGACGCGCGCGTGCGCACTTCGTCCCATTTTTTGCAAGGGATTCGCGAAACAGTGCTATGTTAGAACA